GGAGTAGGTAGGTCAGAAACGTTTGAAACAAAGCTGTCAGAAATATCACAAACCTAAGAAAAACATTAATTAAATAGGGGAACAAGCTAGAAATGAAAGCTCAAAATGAACTCACTTGTTACATCTGCGATAAGCTGCCTCATCCAGAGTTGGCCCTTGGGGTTGAAAAGTAACGGAAAAAATTGCAGTAGGCAGCACAGTGATTCCAGCAAAAATCCACACAGATGCAATAATACAGGTGGCAGATCGCTTGGAAATGCGCGGCTTCAAAGGATACATGATCAACATCCACTTGTCGATGCTGATGGCCACCTAGGAAAAATGCGCATAAATTTGAGCCCAACCACCAACCTCTGGTTGAAACCTACCAAAGTGTATGCACTAACAAACACACTCAATGTAGCCGAATAGTTGACAAAAGTGCACATGAAGCTTCCGAAGGGCCAGAACTGCAACATGACGGGCACCGAAGTGAACGGAATGCACATCACAGTGATCAGAATGTCACCAACAGCCAAATTCATTATGAAGTAGTTGGTCACAGTTCGCATTCTAGGCGACTGCATCACTATGTAGCACACAAAGACGTTTCCTAACAGGGCCAGCACTATAATCACTCCATACATAGTGTACGCGGCCGTTAAGAACACTGGGTTTCTAGTGGGGTAATTTTCAGAAATAACGTCGCAGGATTCATTGTCAAAGGAAATCAGTGGAAATTTGGTTGAGGAGACGTTCAAGTAGCTGGAAAATGTGGCATTTTCCAGGTCTTCCATGGTGCAGCTGGGACAGCGACGGGRCGAATTAAGGATACGGAGCCATCTGGAACAAGACGAGTTTASAGGTTTACATCCTGGAAAGCGMAGCAGAAAAAGCAGATAATTCTTGGCATTTGCCACCATTAAGCAACTTGCAGCTTTTCAGGTTTAAMGTAAATATTTGGTTTGCAATGTGAATAAAATTCGTATCCAAATCGCACCCGAACCCGAAAAAATGCATAACTTCAGGTCCAAAACCAGTAGTGAGYTGAAACTTAATTTAGCCCCTTCATAGAACACAGTTACGTCTCAAAATGGGAACATTTTCGTCCAAATCACGGAAAAATCTCATCGCAGGGAGTTTTTTAAGAAGCTGGTTGAAAAGCGAATGAAAGCTTGCATGACAAAATCCCTAACATCCAGCTTTGTGTCTGAAAATTTCCCATTTTATTGAAAGCACTTGCTCAGAGCAGAAAAATCCATTCCAATGGCACCACATCCTGATTTCCCTTAAGGTTTTCAAACGCTGGCCACAGTCAAAGTGAGCGTTTTCACATTTCTGCAAGCTTCCTGGAAGAAATTCATAACTTCCAATCTAGAGCAAGTAGGAACTTGATGCTCGTCATATTTACTGCCAAAGCTTTGGTAGAAAAGTTGCGAAAATCTGGTTTGCAGCGCAGCTCAATCTCGTTTAAACTGAAGCTTTCAAGCACTACTAATTGTACGCAAAAGTTTAACGCGTTAACACAATTGCAGGCTCTCATGTTAAAATGAATAACTTTCAATCTGGGGCAAGTAGCTACTTGCAATTTTCCCATCGCGTGACCAACTGCCTTTGTTCAGACCTCAGAAAGTTTAAGTCTAAATTACGAGCCATCCTCATTCCGCAGAATTTTTCAAAGGCCGGTTTCGAAGCAACTTTTTCGAAGCCTTCATCAATCTGCAACTTGCAACATTCAGCAAGAAGCAGTAGCCTAAAGTTCTTAGATTTTGGCACAGAAAATTACACTCAAATCGCTACACATCTTTATTTCCCTTGAGGTTTCCAAGCGCTGGTCAAAGTCAAAGTGATCGTTTTCACACTTTCATTCAAAAATTCGTAAACTCCGATGCAGAGCAAGTAGCAGCTTGAAAATGTCCCACTTTATTGCCGAAGCTTGTTTGTCAAAGTTGAGAGAATTTAATTTGAAACGCTGCTCGTTCCGATTTTTGGTGAGGCTTACAAGTACTGCTCAAAAATTGAACGCCGTGGCGCAACTGCAGCATTTCAAATAAAAGTTAATAACTTCCAATCCAGGCCAAGTAACGGAAAATTAAAAAAAAAAATTCCCATTTTTCGACACACTTACCAATGTGGACGAATTTTTTTGCCCCACCTATCAGACCGTAATCAATATTGCAATGCAAAATTTCATCAATCAGTATCAAACTGTCAATTTTTAAACAATTTTCAAACACTCAACTAGCAAAATTCGCAAATTTCTTTAATTTGACATATCTGTCAAATGGTTACACCCGATCACATCGTGAATATCTCATTAATTATGCTCAAGGTCATCCCGATTTTTCACATTGATGACATTGACAGTTGCATTGTCCACTGTCACTCGGCACACTTGATTTTTTCCCGATTTTCGACAGTCCGCCAATTGGATAACTGTTCAAGGTCAAGTCAATGTCACCATCCGATCGATCTTGACATTTCACATCTAGTCGAATACCATTTTCATTGACAGGTGCAAACGTCAATTTTTTTTTTTTAATTTATCACTTTTTTCCCTCTTTTTCCCTTCATCTCTCAATTTCCCTCGCATATTTCATCGATTTTGACACTTTCAATGACGTTTGCTCTAATCACTCAAAACCTGCCCACATTCATGCTCTCTCTTTTTGGCCTAAGACATGTGTCGATGCGAGGGCATTTGCGCGAGAGAGAGACAATCATATGTGGGCATGTCATCACTCGGTCCGCGAGTGTTGACCATGCACTTGAATACAAACCGACGATTTGCCAATTTCGTTGTCAATTTGAAGTTGACTTAAGTGGACTGGCTTCAATTAGACAGTTGGCCCGTAGGCGCATGCCAAAGTTAACGTTGATTTTTCGAACTGAAAATCAATTTTCAACTTTAACTCGACTTTTCAAAGTCAACCGATTATTGTTAATAAAATCGCGATCTTTTTTCATCCAGCCGCATGTTTTGGAAGTTGTTTAAGCGGTGAATGTGTCAACATGACTACAAGCTTTCAAGCAAACGCCGATAACTTCCAGCTTAGAGCATCTACTAATTTGCAACTTTGCCAATTCATTGCCGAGATCTCATTCGTAAAGCTGAGAAGTTTTTTTTAATCGCAGCTCATTTACATTTTCGTTGAGGTCTTCAAGCGCTGACCACAAAACGAACGGTTCCACACAATTGCAAGCTTTTATATAAAAGCTCATAACTTCCTAAGTAGCACAAGCCGCAAGTCKGTATTTTGTCATCTTATAGCAAGGTTTCGCGCTTTAAAGCAGGCATGGTCTGATGCAAATTGCAGTCCACTGTAATTTTGCGGAATTTGTCAAAATCAGGTTAAATAGTGAAAAATCTTCTAACCTAACAGCGAGCTTTCATATGAAAATGCATAGCCGCCAATTTATAGCGTATACAAACGTGCAATTTGTCCGCATTATTGCAAATACTTGAGTCTGAAAGCCACGAAAATGCCATTTCGATTGCGGAAATTATTGAGTTTGGTTGATGCCTTCAAATGCTGCGGATGCTTAGGAAATGTGCGTTTTCACACAATTGCAAGCTTTCAAATTCAATCAAATTCTTGAAAAATGTTCTCTTATAACTTCAAGTTGTCAGAAAAATTCGTCAGTTAAGCAAGGCAGCAATTCTTTTTTTTTTCACATTATGGGAGGTTTTTTAGGTTCAATGCTGGGAAATATTCATGAAATTTTTTGAAAATCTGGTTGAATAGTGGAAAAACGTTCGTATACCTGCAAGATTGCATGTAAAAATTCATAATTTGCTTCAATTCAAACTTTTCCCAACTTATCGCAAAGTCTTTGGTGTCAATGCTACAAAAATTTCATGTAGAACGCAGTTAATTCTCATTTTTGCCCGATTTTGCAAACTGTGGCTGAATAGTGAAAAATGTTCTTCCAAAATTGCGAGCTCTCACATAAAAATGCGCAACTTTCGTTATAGAACCAGCAGGAAGTTGAGATTTAGACCCGTTATAAAAAATTCTTCATTCTCCAAGTGGGGAAAATTGTATCAAAATCACTTGTCTGAGTCTTGCTGCAGTTTTCTAAATCTAGTTAAACAGTGAATATTTCCAGTCAACAGCAACCCTTTAAAAAAAAAGTGATAACTTCCTTTTTAGAGCAAATACAAACCTGAATTTTCCGCACGTTTCGGACAATATGCGTGGCCCTAAATGCTTGTCTTTTCATACAAATCGCGGTAAATTTCGATTTTTTCCGATTACTTCAAATGTTGCTGTTTCGCTTGCAATTTTGACTGATCGTCAAATCACTAAGTTCTTCTAAACTGGACACTGTTGTTAATTTTTAAACACCCGTTTCAAACACTTGCAACAAAATTAAGTTTAATTTACGTTAATAATAAAAACTTTGAGAAATTTATCGACAAGCGACAATTGTCTAATGAAAATTTTGGCAAAAGGGCCTGGAAACACAATAGCAAAGCTTACATTGATGCAACTTTAAAGACCGTTTTGTGCCACAAAAAGAAACGGTTTGGCATCCTACGGAATCCTTCCATTTCTTCCAGCTTTCTATGCAATTTCTTTCCGCCGCTGTTGCTGCTAAGGCGCTGATATGATGATGCGTTTGGACGTAAACCGTTTCAACAACATCCGCATAATTCTGTTTGTGAAAAGCATATCCCTTGTCAAAATTTAAATTAAATTTATGGCTTCAGGCCCTTATCCAAACCCTTTAGAACAGATAAATATAAGGGTGGTATAGATAAAGCAAGGCAGGCTTGCACCATAAATAGCCTTGTCAAAATTGATATTAAAGAAGTGCGCTCGGTGTAGTCGTTTGCTCAAGTTGATTCCATCGATGGATTGATAGTTTATTACCATTAAATCGCACTACCGGAACGAACTCGTTTCGAAAAATCAATAACTTTCCGCACCAGAATGGAATCATCTTGGGATTCATGGGACTTTTAAAGGACCGATTACGCACAGTTGTGCTCATTTAGCACTAGATAATGCACTAATGCGATGAACTGGATATAAGAGAATTTACGCCCTCTTTGCTGCTCATTTGATAACGACGAATTAGGCACACGCCGATTGCTAAACATGTTTTGTTTAAATTCACTTTTATGCAGCAAATGCGACCCAATAGACGTAGTGTAACTTGCGCTTGTAAATAATTCCCMCRTTGATCAAATGCCTGCCGAGTGTGGAAAAATAAGTACAAATCCCTTGTAATTTATGACTTTATCCGCAACTCGCCACAAGGTCCAATTACRCTATTCATTTGTCATGGAACGCTGAAGTTGAGTTTTACAAACATTAATCTCGCTAACCTGTGGTTTTCTGATCGATTTTTCCARTGTGCTTCCGAGTTTTTACATTCATTAGTGAACTGAAGAAGATCGAATGAACCGAAAGCGGCCCACCTTTAACAGCCAACAGCTAATTCTCGGTTTCTTTTACTTGAATGCACACGAGCATTTAGTGTAAGCTGCCAGTTGTTTTCTTCATTCGGCAATCGGGCGGGATTTAATTATATTTGGCCGATAGAGATTTACGGAATGTTTCTTTCAATCAACCGAGTTACGTTTTCATGGCTATTTCCTGAAACTGGACGGTTTTTCGGGATTTTGGGTGGTTTTTCCCCGAGGTTTTGCTAGCACGAGTKGTTTTTTTTTCAATTMWTTTTCRCAGGTTTTATAAAGCGTTTGGGTSAATGATAAGGAAGAAATCGTCGGCTAAAGATTGTSAACGCTTAAAAAYGCTTAAAATGTGCCGAAAATGTCTATTATTTCKGATCKGAAACTTCTMSMATKTTTTTCAATGMTTTCGATGCATTCC